CTGGCTAAAGCAGAACAGACGGTGGTAGGAGTGAGTCGATACTGAAGAGATAGCACAATTTCACTGCTTAAGCACTGTTGATTAGCAGACTGGAAGTAAACTCTGCTAGGGGTTTATTATTAATTTTATCTTTTTTCTTGTTTGTTTTCCACAGGTTTTTCTGCCTAGAACCTAGTTGGTTCCCTGAGAAGGCAGGTACTGAGTTATTTACCTCCAGAGTTGCAAAGGTATGGAGAAATTGCATCCAAACCAGAAACTCAATTGGCCTGAGAGCAGTTATAAATGCAAGTATCTCAGGTGCCTAAGCCAGTGATGGCATGAGCCAGATGACTTTTGACTATTAATGGACATTGCAGACCACAATTTTGTTTGGTCTTTCTGAAAGTTTGTGGCCCTTTAGCCTGTCTTTCCAGGCAAAGATACCCCAACAGGTATGTCAATAAAACAGGTGGTTGGTCAAAATTCTGCGTCAGAGTTAAGATTAAGCACGGAATGAAACTGCTAAGTACACTTTTGAAATACAAAGAAACATATAATGATGTTATAAATGAGCAGCTATTTCTTTAAAACACAGCTTTAAGGGATTGACTTTAAAGTCAGCTATTTTTAAAAGCAAAGCGGCTTACTTTTTTGCTACTCTACTTATATTTGACTTAGATGGGAATACATTAATTGCATGTACTATGCTTGGAATGTGTGGAAAATAACATTTTTTCCATGTGAGTCAGCACAGGAAATGAACTGCAAATGAGTAAAATGTTGAGAAGTCTACAGATGGAGGGTTTTTTTTAAATACACACTGTTTTTCAAGAGTAGAGTACTGACATCATGCTTTCTTCAAGAGTAACGTATCACAGAGATGATTGATGACACACCAGAGACTGAAGAAGAGCAAGAACTTGCTTCTGATCAGATAGTTTAAGAGTCTAATTTGATGCAACATTAATTTAATAGTTTCTCGCCTTGATGGTGCCAGGTGATTTTGCCTCCCCTTAACGGACATTGCCAAAGCTTACCACATTCTTGCTAAACACACAAAATGGTAGAATAACACGAAGCAAACTCAGAGGTGTTCTGACTTGGTTTTCTTTTTGCAGTGGTGTAAAATAAACAAACCAGTGTCTTCTACATAATGATCTAGTGATACATTCCACAAGATACTTTGATTTTCAAAATTTTCCCTTGCCGAGGTTAGATATTAAAATAGTAATAAATACTACTAGTAAGAACAGCAAATGAACAGGCTTCTAAAAGTCATAGTGTGAGAGGATGTTCATGGGTGGATATATTTAGGAAAATATGTAACCCACCACGGAGCTGAAACCTCAGTCCTAAACTAACCAACACTTGGAGCTCAGAGAGGCAGAACGGGTGAGTGGCAGAAAGGAGTACAGGGTCCGCTCCAGCATACGATTAATTTGCTCTGAAATTGTGTAAATTATTACTCTTGACCTCAGTATTAGAACTGACAATTGTATTGGAGTATTTAATGCTGCAAGAAGGCCCCATTAATGTAAAATGGAACCTCCATGGACTCCTCAGAGCTCCCTTGAACCTGAAATTTTCTCCTTTATTTCATTTGGCAGAAAATTACTGCTTCGGTATCAAATTTTCCTTCTGTTTACCAAGGTGGAACTTCAGCCTCAGTCTAATACAGTTAGTAGGAACACTTTGCCTCCTGTCCTCGATGTATGAAGCACACTATTAATACTCTTTTTTCATTTTCGAAATCGAACCAATAAACAGTTCCTTTTGAATACATTGCATTGCACTCTGGGAGGCATGAAAAGCATTAGAATGAGTAAGTTTGCGTTATACTGATCCTAGTAACCATCTTCCCCTGAATGCTGAAACCAATGACATGTATTTGGCCTTTATCTTATGACTGTACTTGTGTTAAATGAACAAACAGGCACATGTGCTGCATCCCAAAGGCAACATTTGGCTTAGAGTGCCTAACAATCAAGGAGAGATGATACATATATTTTTTTTTGTAGGAAAATAATTTTTTGCGTTCCTTTCCTTTAATTTTGCTGTGAAAAGAGCAGCACAGGGAGCCTGTGGCATCTGTTTCGAGTGCCCTGTTCACTCTGAAGCTACAGACAGATTCTGCCATGCTAGTGAGACCGAAGTGCGTACTGCACGTTCATGTTATGCACAGTTCATCATGCTGCCCTGTACCAGAGCTGCTTAGTTCATAGACCAGAAAGCCATTTAAGGTGAACCTGGAATCATTCTTGATGGCAAAATTGAAACCATCTAAAGTCAAACCGGGATT